TTGGGGCATAATGTTAAATAATTATTCATTACCTTTATTCTTCTGTCAAAGTGGGCAAAATCATTTCTTTTTATTGCTTTTTTTATATAAGGACACAGGCCCCTGTGACATCCATTTTATTTTAAACTAATGCTTCTATTATTCCACATCTGAATAATTACAGCTGACATCATCTGCTCTTTGGTGTCCTAAAAGAGCTTTAGCTCTAGTCCACTGTTACATATTTTATGCACAACATGAAATAAAATACCTCAAGATTTTGAAAATATTTATTTTAAAAACAGCAATGAAATTGTCTGTAATCACATTTTCTGCTCTCCTTTGAAAGCTACATTATTCAATATGCCAGTGGTCGTTTCCATAATAGCAACATATTAGAAATTCATGCACTCTAATATCTCTGAATTCATTGATGTACTGCACTCCCTATAGACCTAAAGAAGCATTTCTGTTTCAGTTTCATATGTCCTGCACACTACCTACTGATGTGATGGTTGTCAAAACAGTTGTACAGTAGCCTTTGAATTCAAAGTGTGCCTTGACTGTCTACTAAAAATGACAATAAACCCAAGTATATACATTATTCTGGCTTTTGTTGCCAGTACAAATAGAGCATTCTGGAACTAAATCCCCCAGTTTTATTACCTTTTAACATCTCTTCCACTTTAAACTTCAAAACTTGAAATTTGAAGCATTCAGAGAAATTGAAATCCCCTTTATTTTTTCTTGTAAATGTTCTATACAGCATTATAAGCCACACTGTTAAAAAAAAATCCTGTTACATATAAGCACACTCTAACAATACTGGTGTTTTCTTAATGTAAAAGCTGCACTGTGAAATTTAATTCTGATTGCCTAGAAAAACTCTTTAGCAACCATAGGATATTCAACAGCTCCTGGGTGTGTCTATAACTTTATTTTGAGCAAATGAACATACAAAAATATTTCAATTATTTTCAGCACCTTAAAAGGCATTTTGCAGGTACATGCACCCTCTCATGAGAAATCTGTGCAGACAGCTTTATTTGCAATTTTCTAGTGGTTATTTCTGACAGTTTTAAGGAGCATTTCAGGAAGATTATACAGCACCTGGAAGTCTAGAGAGGCTGACCTCCACCAGAAACTGAGACAGACCTAGTTGTAAGGGAGCTGCCTCAATTATAGTACATGGGAAAATTCTCTTCCACCACAGACAAACCAACATACTACAAGACAATTAGTGCAACTTTATTATCCGATTATACCCAGATATCTAAGCAATCTGAGATGAAGGCATATCTCAGTTATGCCCATGTTAAACTTCTTATACATAACACAGTTCTTGGCTTTGATTTGAGGACCCAGACCCAGTTTTGCAATACCAGAAGAAATTCTGTACAAATATTCAGCTCCATATATCTAAAACAGCTATATAAATGAAATGTCTTGAGAAATCTGCATTTGACGATACTGTAAAAAATGAATGTGTGCATGTCGCTTTGGTAGAAAACAGAGACCCAGATAAGAATATAGAAGCAAACATGAACTGACAGCACAATGTAGGAAAAGGGAAATTTTAGTGATGTTTTCGAACAGTAGAGAGTGAGAGAGACTTCAATCAATCTCAAAACTTCAAAGCAGGCTAATTCCCAACTTGACTGTCAGATACTGTAAATGGCAATGGGAAAGTCCCATCTCCCAGCATTGTAACATTTTTCAGAAAGAGAATTCCCACAGTGTAAAAAATCCATAAGAAATTGATCCTTAATGCGAATTCCCCGAGCTGGTACTGGGTTCTTATTTTGTGTGCTTAAGCACTTCTACAGATGAAAACTCTTACAGATACTGAGTCAAATCCTGCACTCTAAGGGCTTTCAAATGGGAGTTTTTCCTGAGCGAGGTCTATATATGTTTTAGTAAACCAGCAGTTTTAGTGTGAGTCTGCTGAAAAAGTGCTCTTGAGTGCACAGTGCACAATAACTTCTAATCATACTGAGCCAAATTCCAAAGGCATTAGCTTTTACTCAGTCCTTACTCAAGCAAATTCTCATTTTACAATGGCAAACACTTGCTAGATGAGATGAAAGGGAAATGCCATGATCTGTAACCCCAGTATTTTCCGACTTTGTTTGTTTACTTCCATCAGCTTAGCATTAACTAAGTCATTAGCTAAAAAAGTGTAACCTGAGCTGGTGTCAGCCAATTGCAGACCACCCAATAGTTCAAATACAGAATAAAAATGTAGGCATCATTGCTAAAATATTGATATAGCTTGAGAACAGATTAGCAGAAAAGATGAGAGTAAACAGGCCAAATTCAATGCAGTTGCACCTTACACCAGAGCTGAATTTGATCAAAACCCAGTAAATTCTAATAAAGAGGATAAATGGGTCAAGGTGAGGAACAACCCAAAGGTTCAATGCTAAGAACAATTCTACTGAAAATATTTATTAGTGACCTGGAAAATGGAACTAGTTGCCTAGTGTCCAAATTTGCAAGAGGGAGTAATATATTACTGAATATATGGTAACAAGAATTTGGACAGGTTTGAGAAATACATAAAGGAGTTTCAGAGTCAGGAAATATACTAGCACACTTTGGCATATATTATTGGTATAGAGCAGTGTTAGACAAAACAGTAAAAATGAAACTTAAAGGGTGGTGATGAGTAATATCAAAAAGGTAGAATGATGTGCAGAAAAAGAAACTTTTACGTTTCTGGGTTATATAAATAAGGGGGTCCGTTTCAAATGCAAATAAATAATGCTGGCTCTTCACAAAATCTTCCTTGTTGTTGAGGAACACCAAGAGCACAGTGGAATATCTGTCTTCATTGCATAGTTAACTCAAGTTATCTACACTTGAGTTAACTGCTCTCAAGTTAGTGTCCCACGAGTAAGAGTGCAAAATAACACTCAAGCTGAAGACAGTGATTGTGTTAGCTGTCAAACTGGGCTAACTGGAGTTGTAGTATATACAACATGACAGGCCAGCCAACTCAAGTTCAAATAGGGTGACCAGATGTCCTGATTTTATAGGCACAGTCCCGATTTTTGGGTATTTTTCTTATATAGCCTCCTATTACCCCCCACCCCGTCCCAATTTTTCACACTTGCTGTCTGGTCACCCTAAATTCAAAGCTCTACCACACTTGAGTTAAAGGGTACTGGGTGTGGACAGGACCTGATTTAGATACTCAGGTTATAACTAACAATTCAGACAAACCCTGTGTATGAGAGAACAAGGGAAAGGCTGAGAAATGGAGAAGCTGAGCATGGGATTGGAGAAGACAGATGGACAGGCTTAGGTCAGAAATACATTTATAAAGGCTTTCATCCCAGAGAAAGTTGTTCAAATGTAAATCAATCTGCAGTATGACTTTGTGGCAACAAATACAATACTTTTTTTTAAAGGCAAAGATAAGTCTACAATACCCTTGGAACACAAAAAAATATATTTGGATGTACTGTATTCTCAATGAATAGGAACATGCACTTGCCATAAGCCTGAGGAATCTTTCCTTTCTTGACTACACAAATTCCGAGTCCATGTCTTTGATAAAAATAATACTTTTAATTTTACATAAATATCTTGTTTTCCTACTCACTGTGGACAGGTAACGTTTGGAATCTGCACTTGAAACTAAAATTACTTCATCAACCTAATTTCACAATAATGAATCTCTCTCTTCAAGGATATAAGCAGTAATATACCTACATTCTGTGCAAAGGAAATTGTGGCCCTATAACAAATTGATCAAGGTGGAAGGTTATTATGGGTCATAAGAGGAAGGAGACATCCACAGCCCAAGAAATGATGCCTGGATTATCATGTTCAATTTACCTATCATTATTCAGGATTCATTTAGTAAATATAGCACCTTTTCCCTTCCAACCAGTGCATATTTCCCTTAATTTACTTCTGTTTTGTCCTGATCTACATAAATTCCCCAAAGCAGAATTGTTTAGTTATACTATTCAGCTTTTTTGTATTTGCCCTTGATCCAATAATTCACTATGACAATCTACAGACTCTCAAGGCCTTTTTTTCATAGTTCTTTGCAAAAGACTAATGTGGAACATCAGTGTTTAAAAGAATGCTTAGTTTCCAAACCATAGCCCTGGCATAAAAGAGATCAATTCAATGAAACATTGCTTTTACTCTTTATTAAAGTGCCAAGTGCTAGTTCTACTTTCTTTAGGTATTTCTGATTCTTAGATCCTTTCACACCATTCAACTCTTTCTTTTTCAAGGAGGCTGAATAAAGTATTTCATAAGTTTCGTAAAAGTCCTACCACATTTTAAAAAATATCCCAGAAATGTATCCATATTCCTGTATGAAAAACTTTTCGTCCCATACAATATACCCTTAAGGGTCATATTCTGCTCTAAAATATGAGGACATAACTTGGTGTACAGCTGCCATACAAAACGTTTGCAGCTTATTCTTAATACCTCTTGAAAAACAGGATATTTATATGACTTTGCACTTCTTGTAATCAATTTAACCAATATAGAAATGACTGAAAATAAAATTCTTCTCAGGACCAGACCCATAAATTTAACTCTCCCAATCACTTCAATGGGAGCTCTGTATGGACAAGGACTGTGAATTGTGAAAAGGCTGCAAGATTTGACCTAGAGTGAAAAAAAGACATTTGCAGTTTTCCTAACGTACAGTAAACAAGAAAGGAAATAGTACATGTCTGTAGCTCTCTCTGTACAAACAAATCACAATAGAAAGAACCTGGTAAAGAAACACAGAACACAGTCATTCAGGGCTAAAACCTGTTTCATCTGAAGTCAATGATACTGGCCTGATTCGGTTCATAATAACACCACTGTAAAGCAGCAGTAATAAAGAGTAAAACTAGGGATAGAGCAGAAGCAGTTGTGATGATTTCAGGGATACCTGGATATAGCCTACTGACAGTATTTTAAATAGATATAGATATCCACATTTAAAAAAAACAACCACCTAAATTAAACTAGCCCTAAAATCAAAGACTAAAAATTCTTACCACAGAAAGTGAATTTGAAAGCAGTGTCCCATCTTGGCCAAGCATGTTGGACACTGTAATTTCAGGTAGGTCCATGTTTTGTGGATGAAATGGAAGCAGGCCGTTATGGTTCATTGGGTGACACAGAGAGTGGGACCCAGTGTGAGCCAGGTTC